TACACGGATTCAGATATGAAACTTTAATAAGTTGTACTTACGCACAATCTATTTGTAATCTTGAATTTTAAGTAATATACATTAATAAACAGTACTTTACGCATAAAAATTGGTTTTTAAGAGTTTTTATCAAATGTTTTATAATATAGTATAGATAATTTTTTTATAAAAATAATAATTAAGTATTCTGTTATAACTCGCTAATTATCATAATTATATTTTATATTTTTTATATTTTAAAATGAGATGTTTATCCTGTATTTGATTATATTTATCTGTAATTAGTTACATGAATTTAAACATAGAACGTTAATAAGTTGTACTTATGCATAATTACTCGTAATCTTGAATTTTAAGTAATATGCATTAATATACAGTACTACATGTATAAAAATGATTTTTAAGAGTTTTTATCAAATGCTTTATAATATAGTATAGATATCATGTGATGAAGTTTTCAAAAATGTAAATAATCAGCTTTATTTATTTTTATATTGAATTTGTATTTTTTCTATTTATAAAATCAAGTCATCAAATATTTATGGCAATATTTCAATTTTTTCATACATTTGATAATAATGTGAAATATTAGCTAAAGACTGTGAAGTTAACCTTTACAGTGATTTTGCTACAAAAGTTTGGAATTTTTTTACCTTCGCAACGTTTTGCTGTGAAGTTTCAAGTATAAAATTATGGTCTTACGAAAACAAGTTGATCTCATGTGAACCCAACCCTTACCTAAAATATCCTAATATCTTGTCAAAACTATTTTTTTAAGGTTCAAATGATAGAAACGTCAAAGCAAGTTAATATATTCTTTTAAAATGGAGAAAATGAAGATTTTAAGAAATTTTTGTTTCAACAGTTTTTTTCGAGTTTTTCTTCGAAATAGTAAAATTAGGAGAATAATGTGAAACATTCGAATTTAAAGAACTCTCCAAAAATGACATGAGAGAGAAATATATTTTTATTATATTTCTATTAATAAGAAATTTTTAAAATTAAATTGTTAGGAGAAAAAGTATTGTTTTATTAAATATTTGGAATATTTCAATAATATAACCAATATTGTAATCTCTAAAATATAATGTCTTGTTTGTTTTAAAAAGAAGCTTTTATAAGGTCATTAAAATCGTTTGTTTTTTCTAAAATTTCAGACACTTATGTTTTATTGTTCTCTTATCTATTAAAAGATAAAACAATCACTTATTTGTCTCTTATTGTTCTCTAGACCTCCAGGAATAACGTTTCTCAATCAATCATTACAAAATCAATCATCACATCTCTCAATTGATGTATTTTAATAGGATATAAATGTGTTAAATATCGTTAATGACATATTTTTGTTTAAATGAATGCTAATTATATAATTTAAATGTAAATTTCGTAATGATGATGAATAAATAATGTGATAATATATACATTTATCTATAAGTTCAACACTGTAATTTTTTAATAAGTAAAATAGACAATTTAAACGAATTCAGACATACATCAGTTCACAAAAACAAACAATCTTGTTGATTCAGATTTCAGACTTCAACACCATATCTTATGAATCAGAAAAAAAAAGTTCAAACTTCAAAACATTTTAAAAAATAAATATCACCTAAAAGTTTGTTGAAATTAAATGCAGTTCTTTTTAAATACTTTAAAATTTGATTTTCTATCTTAAAGAATTTATTGAAGATATTCTCAATGAAATTAAAAAAATATCAAAAATAATAGTTTTTTTTATAGTATTTTTCATAAAGTAGTCTTTTAAATAATGACCGAAATATCCTTTTTAGAGTCAATGGTTATTCCATAAATTTTCTTTAATAATTTCCATAAATATATATAGGTATTTGAAATAATGGCTAAAATACCAAATTTGAAATTTAAATAAGATGATCCACAAGATTACAAGGTTGTTGAATTCACCTTGAAGTTTAATAAATTATATCTTTAAACGAAGTATTATTCTTAAACTTTAATTAACCAAATTTTAATGGTTGCATTTGTATAATATTTAGTTAATTGAAATTTATATATTCACATTGTTATATTATCAAAGGTTTATCTGAATAATCAAACCAATACTATAATATATTTGAAAGTTTTCTCATCATCGAAGATTGATTATATTTAT